GAGTAGGATGCAGTGTTAGGGTTTCACAGTTGCTCCGTATCTTGCAAGTTGCTGGAAAATTACAAAATATATTTACACAGTGTGTCCGACACCTGTGAAAATTCGTGTTGTCGAAAATTTTTGTGTTTGCTTTCGAATGAAGTCGTGGGGCACACAGACGCCCTAAACTCCGCTCTCTCGCTGTGCATCCTAGTCGGGCGCACTGCCGCTTGGCTACGCTTCTCGATAAAGCAGTGAGAATTATGGAAATGGGTGGTGATCGTTGCCAAAGCGGATCGTTCCGTGTGTTTGTCTTGTGTTTGCGCTAAGAGCTGAGCCGAGATGGAGCGTGAGCAGATTGTAATGGCGATAAGGCTACAGAATACTATTCTTTTTTGCCGGACTACAATAATTTCGCGCACGGTAAAGAAAAGTTTCTTGCATTTCAAGACTCGGTCTTACATGCCGTTGGCGTTCTCCAAGATCCGAGACCGGGTTTTCAAATACAAGAAACCTTTTTTAACGTGCGTGAGTCTCCCATTGTAACACCATATATTCACTGCTCTTCTGACAAACATCTTAAAAAGAAGTGTTGAGGAACCAATATCCTAATTTCTCTGTATTTGTGATTGCAGGTGAGCATTTCTCGGGACGTGTGGGCTTTGCTGGATTGGCGCACGAGACACATTGCAAGTATTTCGAAGAACCTCACCCAGCTACAGGAAATAAGGGTTAGGCTGCTTTAACATTTGGTCGTAATTTTACGACATTCTGTCTTTTACACACTAACTGGATTTGTGTCTTTTAATTTGTACGAACTCAAGCAATCGCATTTTTTGCACACATTCTGCTTTGATTTGAACACTTTTGTGCATTCATTTTTACTTATTTGACGTACAAATTTGTGCGAAACGAAACGTGCGAAGATTTGCACCAAAACATACAAATACAATTAGTGCACTGAAAAAAAAATACTAGTAGCAGTTACTAGGATCTTAGTACCAGGTACCAGACAGTCTAGTAAAATAGGAACCAACTAGGAATCTAGTAAAAGATACCAGACAGGCTAGTAACACAAAGTCTAGTAAAATTTACCAGATGTCTAGTTACAGATACCACACATTTTCTTTCCAAAAAGTGTTCAAAAAATATACGAATGCAATATAGAAGATGTCTGCCTGTTACTACGGTTACAGCGGGTACTCGTTAACCCACGAAATTTCGAAGCCCTGACCGAGTTTTGAACCGCAGACCTTTGCCTTGGAA